AGTTTATGAAACTTTTCATACTATTTTTGGAATAAAATTAGCATGGAAATTCTGTTGTTTGGAAGTTTCAAATATACTCATCTGTAAAACAGTCATGCTAACAGCTTTTACTGAAAAAAGTTCTTTGCCAATATTTTTAGTTTCTTCAAAGAATAATGTTCTTTTGTTTTTTCTCTCTCTTCTGCTTGAGTCAGTTTTAACAACATATATTTCCTAGAATTGGCCCCTACCCATCTCATCCTGTTTCTCAATTCATTGACAAGAAAATTGTATTTGGTATTCTTTTGAAAATGTATTCTGTATCTTGTTTGTATTTTTTTCTCACTCCTTCTGTTTTGTTCTTTTATTTTCTTGATTGTTCTAGCCAGATAGTTATCTAAATCCTTTTCAAAGAGCCATCTTTTAATTTTCTTACTATTTTACTTTTTTTTTTCCCGTTAATTACTACATTTAATTTCTTCCTTTATCGTGTCTTATTTAGGTTTTTTTTTTTTAGGTTTTGCAAATTTTCTTTCTTAATACTTATTTTTTAGTTTACCTAAAAGCTAAAAAATAAATATTTAATAAAAAGTTTTAGGTGGACACAATATCTTTATTTTTCATTTTTATGTGGTGCTGAGGATCAAACCCAGGGCCTTGCTAGGCAAGCGCTCTACCACTGAGCCACAACTCCAGCCCAGGTTTTGTAAATTTTGAGCACTTTATTTCCTTAATAATAAAACTTATTTGAATGTCTGAATACAAATTTTCTTTGCCCTGTGAGGTTTTTTTTTTTTTTTTTTTTTTTTGTACTGGGGATTGAACTCTGGGACACTTGGCCCCTGAGCCACATCCCCAATCCTATTTTGTATTTTAATTAGAGGCAGAGTCTCACTGTGTTACTTAGAACTTTGCTTTTGCAAAGGCTGCTTTGGACTTGCTATCTGCCTGCCTCAGCCTCCTTAGCCACTGGGATTACAGGCATGTGCCAACATGCATGGCTTTCACTGATTTTTTTTAGTATGGTTTTATTATAGCTTATACAGCTGATTTTTTTTTTTTTTTTTTTTTTTACCTAATCTGCCTATATAGTTATAGTGGGTATATTTGGTTTTTATGTTTTCTGTGTCAGTATTTCTTTTTATATATTTTGTTGTTAATATTTTGCTAAACTTGTTTTCTGCTTTTTACTATGTTGATTGTTCTTTTCTATAAAAGCTTAGTAATACTGCTTTTGATACCAGGTCCTAGTACTGTAACTTTTTTAAAAAAATATTTATTATTTTTTAGAAGTAGTTGGACACAGTACCTTTATTTTATTTATTTATTTTTTATATGTGGTGCTGAGGATTGAACCCAGGGCCTCGCATGTGCTAGAGGAGCGTTTTCCGCTGAGCCACAACCCCAGCCCAGTACTGTGACTTTGATATTAGTAAGATTAGTGTTAATCTTAAATTTTTAATAGCATTATTTCAATTTCTCTATTACCAGAATAAAAAGGGACATAATTTAAATGACTTCTATTTAAAATGGAGGTTTTCTTGAATTCTTTTTCTCCTTCTATCTAAACATCAAGTTGTTGGTAAGATGACTAGAATTATCATCATTAAAATCACTTCTTTCAAAAAAAATTTTTTTGTCACTGCATTTTAGTGTGTAACCAAACAGGTAATCATTTATATTTGTCTCTATTTAAAATTTTTTTTTCATCATTTACCAGCATTTCTGTGTAGCCATTTCCCAGGCCCAGTTAGAAGGGTCCCCTGGGCCACTACAGTCAGCAGAGCCATAGAAGTTTGAGGCCCTCCTGCCTGCAGTCCCCTTCATACTCACGTGGGTATGTGTGATTTCCCTTCCCCTCAGGACGGAGAGACTGCCACTTTAGCCCACCTGTCCTTCTTTGTGCGGCATTTGAGTTGGGGTAGGGTGTGAGGACGATGGAGCTTGGAGAAGGCCATGGCCTGCCCCGTTAAGCAAGGAACCTTTATCCCTAGTGACCTTATGACTGCTTGTGGCCAAACCAAATTCCTAATGTCTTCAGGTGACACAAAGCTCTGTGGCCTCATTCTTGGCACCATTTACTGAGCGTAGGACTTCTTCATTCAGCATCATGCCTGTGAGATCTCTAAGCTGGTATTGCTGGCCTTAGTGTTCCAGTCAGGGTGACATCCATCCTGCTAGTCATGGCACTCATGGGTTTGTCCACGTCCTTTCTATGGCACAGCCTTCTGATGTGCACCAGCAGTAGGTGCATGGACATCTTTGTCAGCTTGCCCACTATTTGGGATCATTGCTAGATCTGGATAGTCTTTTCATATTCCTTAACCCAACTTGGATGGGTGCTTGTTCTTTCTTTTCGATAATGCCAAAACTGACAAGTCCTGTGAAGGCTCTGAGACTTTATCCTGCTTGAAAGCTGACAGCCTGCCAGGTTTGTGGATGTTGGCTGGAGACGTGAGATTTCTGGGTCAGAGACAGAGGGCTTTGTCATGCACAGCACAGTAAGGGCAAAAATTTCCTGAGAAGGTTTCTCTTGACCCTGAGCCCCACATCGCAACATGTTCAGCTAGGTAGAGGCTGCCTGCCCCACTGTGGGCGTGGGTCACAGCTGAGGAGACCCAGGCTTGGGCAGCCCACAGCATTCATTATGGGCTACAAGCAAGCCTGTCTGACCTGTGATTGGAGGTCACGTCTCTATTGTCCTGGACAGTAAACAGGTCTGTCCTCTGCTTCAGAGGGCACAGTCCAGATAGAAGGCTGAGTGCTATTATGCTCATCCTAAGAAGGCAGCCCAGAATAAAACTGTCTCTGCCTCTGTCAGGTGTCGAGAAATGGCAGAGACTGAGGAGAGGTGCCTCCTGACTGAGGGGTGTGTTTGAAGAAAACAAGTGGAATTGCTAACAAATATTTCTTACCTGACAGCCAGAGAAGTTTGTAAGTCTTATTGTGATTGGCTTCCCAAAATTTATTATCATGATGCTTATACTTATGTTATTATAATTATTTAACATAATTGTAATTTTTAAAACTTTTTTATTTGTTTTATTAGTTATACATGACAGTACAATGACTTTAATATATCATACATTTGAATCAGATGGGATATAATTTCTCATTTTTCTGAGTGTACAGGTTGCAGAATCATATTGGTCATGCAGTCACCTATATACACACAGAAATAATAATGTCTGTTTCATTCTACTATCTTTCCTATCCCCCCATCCCCTCTCCTCCCTTCCCCTCCCATCACTTCTCTCTACCTAATTTTATAATTTTTTTGAATATTAAGTTTCAGACAGATCCTAGGAGCCCTACTGTATTATAATCCAACAATATTAAACTGTTTAGCTCAGATATCCTGACTCTTAAAACCCACGAGTTACATGTTTTGGGAACCCTGCTGGTTATCTCACATATTTCTGGGGATAGGCTTGAGGCAGAAAAGGTAGCTGGGAGGGCATGACACACACTGCCAAAGTCCTCCTCTCTCCTTACCTGTTTTGTGTATAGGCACCAGAATGTTTAATGTGTATCGACTGTTGATTAGAAGAGAGGGTGGGAGGAAAAGAGGGTGAAATCACCATTGAAAGGTGATGGTGTGTTTTGGTGTATGAAGTTGTGAAGTGGAGATTTAAAAGCTTCTCCAGTAAAGAAATACTGTGGATGGCCATTATGTTTGGCTGTAGCAGTTTATGACTTTTTCAGTTTCTTCTCAGGTGAACAATAGCTGCTTGGTGTTAGAGCTCATGTATTAAGACGCAGACCTGGTTGGTCCTGGCTCTCCAGCCTTCCTTAATGTGTGCACTTCGGGTGAGCTGGCGTTCACATCCCATGTAGTGTTTCAAGTCTGCCAAGGGCAACCCTGTGGCAAGGCTATGATACTGTTGAGGGGTTGGCAAGAGAAAGCCACTCACCTCAGGTTCTCACGCAGGCCTTGGACTAAGTCTCCATAGATATAGAGATATATATAGAGACATTATATATATAGAGACATTTCCTCTCTATATTGAATTTGTGTAACTAGGGTGCTGTGATTTAAGTGCATCCTATTTCTATTGAGATAATAGAAAAGAATATTTAGGACAAAATTGAAATGAATGTATGTTTTAGGTCTTTATTTAACTTATAATATGGAGTGAAAGATGACATGATTTATTGAGAAACACATATATACTTATAATTTTGTTGTGTTAGATGTTATAGGTATAAAACAATAATATACATCTTTAAGTTTAGGTACAGAAACAATTATTTGGTGACTTTGCAGGAGTATAAAGAAGTTTCTGTGTTTGTCTTGTTTTCAAGTTTAAAAGTCTGGCCTCTGGTTTGGTCCCTAGGTCAGAATTTATTTTACATTTGAAAATGTACGTAATGATTATTATATTCCAGCCTTGTGAATTAACACAAATTCTATCAAATATGAGAAGGGAAGTATGTGCAGTTGCCATAGTACCCTTGGAGTTTGTGGTGTTGGATTGCAGCAAGTAGTTCTGCAGCTGCACGCTAGAGGGCTCCGGAGGCCACGAGCTGCTGTGTGGGTTCTTGCCATGGGAGTTGGTGCACCATGCTCCCACCAAGCTGTGTTCCCCAGACTGGCCCTCTGCTGCAACAACTGCCTTGGAGCCCCTTGATTAGAATCATAGGCAGAAATTCATAAATTATTTTCTTTGTGAAAAGTGTTAGGAAAGTAATTATTCAAAATGGTTCCATAAAGTGTTTTCATAATTTTTTTTTTTGTAGTTTACTCCAAGCTTGATAGTATTTACTATAATTTTGAAAACTCAGTCTATTCATTATAAACTAAGCATTTTATATTTTTTTAATAAATAAAAATTTAAATAAATTTAGATGTAATAAACATTATGTAAATTAACAAGGTAAATTTCATAAATATATAAATAAATCTAATAAAAGTATTTCCTTTCCTCCCAAAGGATTATATAGGCTTTTATATGGACCGAAGCCTAATTGTTTATGAAATGAAATAAAATATTAAAATCATCTCTCTCACACATTTTCAGGGGATACGAGCCCGCATCTTGGAAACTCTGGTCATGCTGCTGCTGCTGGCATTACTGATTCTTGGGATAGTGTGGGTGGCTTCAGCACTGATTGACAACGATGCTGCAAGCATGGAATCTTTATATGGTGCGGATTTGCTTGTGTTAATCAGTTTCTATAATGGAGACCATAGTTTGGGATATAATTACATATGACTTTAATAACATTTTAAATAATTCTTTATATAGTTCACCCTTGATGTTGATTTACAGAATTAAGAAGACTTTAGATGTATTTAAGAAATGAATGTACGTTTGTTTTATATATACAGGATGAGTAAGAAGCCTTTTATTTTTAATTAATTGGTTTCTGTTCTTAAAATTTTAGAGAGGCTCTTTTTTTTTTTTTCCTTCCTCCAAACAGGTTTTGCAAAAGGGTTATTTTCTATCCTTCTATTTTATATTTTTTTATTCATACAGTTTAGAAATTATATGGTTTAGTACACTCAAATAAGCAATTACAATGTTTATTATACTTTAAATATAGTCAGCCTATATTAAGATAAAACATCTTAATGTGCAGTATTTTGAACTTATTAAAGTTATTTACATTTTTTATAGACCTCTGGGAGTTCTACCTACCCTATTTATATTCCTGTATATCATTGATGGGATGTTTGTTACTTCTCTGTAAGTATTTTTCTGACCTGATATTGATAGGAGAGTAGTTGTTTTGTATTCTGGGAAATTATGAGAAAGCTTCCTGGTGAGATTCCTTAACAACTTGGAGAATTTTTAATTATTCAAGATAAATTCGATAAACTGAAATCTTGAAATAATAATATGCTTTTTTTATTCTCTGAGGAAAGCCTTTCTGCTGGATTGGAAAAAGAGAGAGGGACACCCCCCGACACACATTCTTATACTCTGTCTTGCTTGCTTCCTGTTCACATGTCCAGTACCCCACCCCAACCCATTCAAAGCACCAGAGTCTATTTGTAAATGGAAATGGTAGGCCAATATGTGATGAATTTTGTGATTTTTATTTCAAAACTTGTTTTGTTTTACTTGAGGCATCACATCCTATCTTAGGGATTAGCTGTTAAATGTATTTCAAAGGACTTAGGACTATAGTTGTCAGTATTAAATATTCTTTTCAGGTTCTCACTTCTACCAGTACATGAAATTTAATCTGGTCTTTGCTTGGTTTTATACAATTTATTTTAAACAAAAGTACTTATTGTCATCCCACTGTTAGAATCTTAAGTGTCCTGAACCTTCTCTCGCCTTAACTACCTTTCATCAGATGTCACGCTGCCCGCCCCTCACACTGCCCCTCTAGCCTCTTCATGGGTGAAATGCAAGAACCTTCTGACAGAGAACTGGGAGAATCTGTTGGAGTCGAGAATTTACTTAAAACAATGCTATTTGAGTTGTTTTATTTTTCTGTGCTTTATCTTTCTGAGCTCTAAAGTATATATCTCTCTGTTGGTGGTCTTCTCATTTCTGCAGTGTGTACACCAGTTGGCCTTTCCCGCATGTTCACAGTAATGGGCCAGTTGCTAGTGAAGCCAGCAGTAAGTATTCCATTAAAAATTATTTGGCTTGTTAATTAAATATGTTTACATTTGAACTTCTTTTAGATTGTGAATTAGCCTTTAGAAATAGAGTATTTTTGTAGGTTTATCACTTAAATTTACATTTTTTAAAATCTTTTTTTATGTTTAGAAACCATATTTGTTTTTGCTTTAAAAGTACTAATTATAGGCACTTTGGTAAAAATTTGGCTAGGCAATTTTAAGAGAAAATTTTGCAGATATTTACAGATATTCATTGCTTTATATCAAACAATTCTATTTGAAAATTAACTGCATGTTTTGATTTATAAAGCAGAATGCTTTTGAAAATTTGCACATTATATATTATAATTGAATTATACTTTGCTATTCTTTTATTTATTTCTTTTTGGTGGTACTGGGGATTCAGTCCAGAGGCACTCTACCACTGAACTACATTCCCCAGAGCTTTTTATTTTGAGAGAGTGTATCTCCAAGTTGCTGAGGCCGGCATCTAACTTGTATTCCTCCTGCCTCAATCTCCCATGTTGCAGGGATTGCCCAGCTCTCTATATTCATTGAAAAATGATTTTCAATAGCAGAAAGATCAGTAGAGTACAGAGAAGGGAGCAGGAGGAGGGAGGAGGGGAGGGAAAGGAGAAGTACTGGGGATTGAATTAGAACAAATTATATTCCATGCTTTTATAATTATGTCAAAATGAACCCTAATGCTATTTATAATTAAAAAGAACCAATAAAAAATTGGAAGAAAATAAAATATGTGACTCAAAAGACAATAAATAAATAAGGGCCTTAAGGCCCTTAAAAATGATTTTGAATTGATAGTAATTCTGATGACCTATTCTTAAGTTTCTTTTATCTTTAACTATTTTGTCAGATATTTAATAATGAGAAAATAGTTTCTTGGCTGTAATTAGGAATTTGCCACTTAAGTTATTTTCACTGGATCATCATTGCTGACAGATTCAACTCTAACTCCTTCATGCTGTCAGGTTTTCCTAACCCATTCTGATTGACCTCTCCTACCCCTCTGCAGTCTTTCTCTAGCTCCCGCATGGCTCTGTGCCGCTCCCCTCCAGTCATGCCTTTGTCCCTCTTACCTACTCCAGCATCAGCCGCAGGCTCTGCCTGGTTCTGGACCTCGTTTTTCTGCTCTAGGCCGAGAATCAAACTCCTTCCTCTGCACTTCTCACGTTCACCTTTTTAACTGACTAATACTATGTTATTTTAGTTATGGGTTTGTCACCCCTATCACGGTGATTCATTAAAGGAAAACCCTGAGGAAATGTTGTAGTAGATAATCATTTAGTAAATGCTTATTTAATTTTGAAAATTATAATCTCATCATATCTTCTTTTAAAAATAAAGTCTAACTTTATATTTGCTCCATAAATGTATGCACACCCACAGCACACATGCTATCAAATCTTAGAGAGGCTTTGTGACACTGCATTCCTATAGTTTCTCCCTGCTTCCTATAGAAAGAGGCCTAAGGTCCTCTGGTGTTCTGAAGTTCTGCTAATGCTCTTCTGGGTGCTCTGGACCACCCCTGCCACTCTGACCTCACCTCTAAATGTCTGATTCTAATGAGAAGACATTGGAAATAGCCTTTAGCACCTCAAATGCTATCCAGTTCCTCATGGAGCTGCAAGCTCAGCATGTAGAACCAAACTCCTTATTTGTCTCCCCTCCTCAGGCTAATTTTTCTCCCAAACCTATCTCTTATTAATGACCTCCTCAAAGCCATATTTATATTTGCCTCTTTCTTACTCCTAACACATAATAACGGTGGTTGGTTATACAACCTGTAGTGATAAGCACTGTATCGGACACAAAATTTCATTGCCTCCTGATGATTAAACCATGAGTTAGGTGGTATTATAAATGAGAAACCCATGAGTTAGGTGGTGTTATTTTATGGCTGAACTAACTTCAGTTCAGGGAGATGGCATGTCCTAGGTCACAGAACTGTGATGGAGTAGGTTTGAACCCAGAGGCTGGCTTCAGAGTCCATTTTGGAGCACTGTTCTGTTCTTCCTTGAGCTCCAGAGTAACATTGCTGCTTTCCTGCAGAGTGGACCTCTCCTCCTCTGTGTTTCTTGTATGGTTTCCTTTGTTGAAAGGCCTGTCTTCCTCTTGTCAGTTCAGGTCACTGGGTGATGTGCTCCAGCCATCAGCCACACTGGCCAAGACTTTCTTCTCCCTAACTGGCAATAATCTTTCTTTCTCCAACCTTTCAGAACATTTTATTTAAGTCTCGCTTTTGACATTGATTTTAATCCTATAATTACTTTTTGAATTCATTTGACCTCTTCTACCATTTGAGGTCAAAGACTATGTCTGACCCATATTTAAGCCCTCATTAGTTCATAGTAGAGCAAAGGCTTTGAAGGCAGAGAGCATTTCTTGGGAAGCTATTGTTTTTTTGGAGTATAAAATGGTGATAGTGGGAGTGTTTTTATGGTATTGTAGAAATCAAGGGTATGATGCTCATGGGCACTTGACATATGAACCTCTGTCCTGCTAATGCTGTCACTCATTCAGCACCTGTGATGGTAGGTAACATTCAGTAATTTGCAAGTAAAACAAGCAGAAGTGGTCAGTTCTAATCGAAACAGTAGAAAGTGATGAAACGCTTTGATAGGAGAGAGCCTTCCGATCATGATCCATACAGGTATACCCCTGTCCACTTGTGTAGGCACCTCTGATTTGTTATCCAACTGGTTCTGTCAGAGGGCCACTCTGTTGCTCCCTTAGGACCATCACACCTTCTGGCATGTGCCACTTGTCTCAGGTTAAGTATTGTCTCCCTGGATAGGCCTCACTGTTGGTTATCTGGAGAAGACTCCTCCCCTTCTTCCCATTCCTTATCCCTCATAGGACAGTCATTCATTATCATTACTTATTTATTCATCATTAATTCATCCTAATTATTTATTTGTTGCCCCCTTCAGGTTTAGGCTTCCTGGGGGAAGAAATGGTATGTCCACCCACTGATTAGCTTAGTTCTAGGACCATAAGTACTTATTGAAAGACTGGGGATTTTTGGATTGCTTTACATAAATATAACATAAACTATTAAAATTCCAGATGTGATAGGGATTGAGTGATTTAGGAATATCATATTAGGCAGCTGAAAGGACACACAGTTTCCACTATTGCACTTTGTTCACCAACCCCTCATGATTGAGTAAGTAGTTTTGAGTTTGAATGATAGAGAACATTGATACCAGCTCTGGGTTTCTTTCATGTTTTCCCCTTTCATAGAAGGATGGTTATGTTAGCAAAGGCAGAACTGGAAGCATTAGGTTTTGTCAGTTTTTAAGACAGTGCAGGTAATATTCCATACAATCGGTAATTGACGAGTGAGGTTCTTTTCTTACTATTGTATGGCTTCATAGTGAGTGGCTTATATGTAAAAACACCCATTTCTCTAGGGTTCTGTCTGTTGGATGATTTGTTTGTTTTGGTCTCAACTTATATTTTTAAAAGATTATAATTATTAACATTGTATAGATTAACAGGATCAGTATATTTCTATATATGCACATATTGGCAATGGTCATGTCCAAATGAGATGATAAAAAATATTGACTTTATTTTTATATTTTTTCTACATTTTTTTTGGTGTATTATAGTTGTACATAATGGTGGGATTTGTTACATATTCATACTTGCTATGTACACAATATAAAAATATAATTTGCTAATATTATTCCCAATACTAAGTCAGCTGATTTTGATATCATCAGTGTTCAATATTCATGGAGTGTTTTTAGTGTATAGACATGACATAAATGGAAGGTTCTGCATGTTACTGATGTAGTTTATAGACTCCTTGAACTAGAAATTCTGTCAGTAAATATAAATGGGAGGACAAATGTTGGACTAGATGATCATTCCTTCCCGCTCTAAAATAACAGCTTTGGCATGAAGACATATTTGCTATATTTAGCTTTTTGACTCTTTAAAATTCATACATTTGTTTGCCATTGAGAAAACTGCAGATGTTTTTAGTTTAAACTTTAACAATATCCAATTTATATGAATGTAGATTTTGTGAGAATAAAGTTTTGATGTGTTTATTTATACACTAAATTGTAGAAAATAAATACAACATCTATAAAACATGCTTAATTTATAAATAAAATAGTTTGGATATTTTATTTTGGGTTCTTAGTTATTTGAGTGAATATATTATCTGAAATAATAGACCAAGTAGCTTAAATAGTCAATAAACAAGAACTTTGTAATGTTATATAATTGAATAGTTTTGTCTTTAAATTTAGATTCTTGAAGACCTGGATGAGCAAATTTATATAATTACCCTAGAAGAAGAAGCACTCCAGAGACGGCTAAATGGTACATGTATATTACATATTTAGACCAGTGTAACAACTGTTTAATTAAAAAATAACAGATAATTAAAAGAAAGAAATACAAACCTCTTATAGGCTTAAGAGTAACAAAGGGACTTCCAGGTGAAGGGGATCTGCCAAGAGTTGGATGTAGATACATTGTGATGAGCACAGCTGGCCTCTAGAGAAAGTGGCCACTGGGGGGCCAGCAGCCTTCTACCACCAGCTCTTCAGGTGGTTTGCAAGTGCAGAGGTGGTTTGGTCTGTATGCAGCATTAGTGACTGTAATGTCCCTACTTCATTTCCATTCTGCTGAGATCTTTAAGATAAAGAGTAGCATATTTCTTGGACACAAAGGTGCCAAACGTGACTCTCAAAAGTTTTACTTATGAACTCTGTTGTCTTGAGGAATATTGTTGGCTATCAGTTGGTAACTAAGTAGGCACATTAAAGATTCTAAAATTTCATTTCAAATTATGTATTGTTTTTGGTTTCCAGTGAAGAAAAGTGTAATGATAGTTTAACAGAGAAATGACATAGTTTAGGTAAATTTCTTTTAATTTTACCTGAGTGATTTTTCACCCTGTACTTTCCTCTTATGTAGCATTTTTTTAAAAAGTTGAAAAACCACCCTTTCTCCACCAAGATCAGATTAATATCTAATTATGTTTCAGAATCATAATTTAAGAGTAGGTATAGAACGGAAAGTTATTTTTACAATGAAATATTGAGAAATAAGAAATATATCTAGGGGCTGTGGCTGTGGCTCAGTGGTGGAGCACTTGCCTGGCCTGTGTGAGGCACTGGGTTTGATTCTCAGCACCACATATAAATAAATAAAGGTCTATCAACAACTATCTATCTATCTATCTATATATATATGAGAAATATATCTAAATATGGTAGAGAGATTAGTGAATCAAAAAATAAAATAAATCTTGTTGGAAAGTTGAACTGTCTCTGTCAGTGTTCAACAGTTTCTCAGTCCTGGAAAATGTATGTGATAAGCTCGGTTTGAAGACTCCTTGATGATTCAGTTTGGATTATATGTTTTGTTTTATTTATTACTAGCATTATGTTAGGATTATTTATGTTTTCCTCTTAAAATGTGCTCTTTTTAGAAAACAATTAAGCATCCCACACAAGACTCTCTAGATATAAATTGGGGCTTTTCTGTGGTTCTTGTTAAAATGCGAAGATTTTTTAAATTCATTTTTATGTATTTCCAATAACTTGTCCTTTGAAATAATTTCATCAGCTTTCTTTACTTGAATCTTCATTCAGACTGCCCAGTTTCTATTACTAAATTAAAACCTTAGAGTGTGTACACACACACACACACACACACACACACACACACACACATATTTTCTTAACTACAAATAGGAAAATTAATTCATCAACTTAAGTTATTTATTTGGTACAGATAAATTGTGTCAAAGACTAGAACTCCATGTGTCTTTTATTTTTCTAACTGTATTAAAGTTATTTTAAAATTTAAACTTACTTAATTTCAGAATTACAAACTTAAGTCAACAGCATCAGCTTTATAAAAGTTTATAAAATTTTATTAAAGTGAATATTGAAATAAATTTGTCTTCTTTAGATGATCATGCTATTATGTAGTAAACAAGCCTGAGTCACTTATTTTGATGTGGCTTCATTTTATATTATGGTTAGCTTTCTAGCAAGATGTCAGACTACCTCCTGCAGTATACAGACATGTTTCAGCCTGTGGTGTGTGTTATTTCTGTCTTAGATAAGAAAGGGTAAAACATAGTATTCCATGAATGAAAGAATTTGAATTAAGTCTTATCAAGACAAAAAATAAAAAATGAAGCCTATTCTCACTTTCCTATTGCGTGGTAGGGAAGGGTTCCTTCAGAATCCCTCAATCCTTTGACGCCTCAACTCAAAAGTGGTTCACTATATCCAAAGAAATTAAAAGGAAAACTCTGGCTAGAAAGCTAACCATAATACAAAATGCAGCCACATCAAAGTAAGAGCGAGATCCCAGTAGCATGGAGAAGGCAGAGGGGATGGTCTGGGGTAGAGAGGGTAACAGAGGTCAGGACACTGAGTGCTCTGGCTAGCCTAGTGGGGCGTCTTTAAAGACCTTTTTGACAAAGCTCTTTGATGATGTGCTGAAGAGGTTATGATTTTGCTTTTTACTGCTGGTTAGCCACTGTGGACTATTTCAGGTGGGAGATAATAGGCTAAATGGTTACTGATTATTATACATAAATGATTCTGTGGCAAAATTGATGTTTTGACTAACAGGGATTAAGAATTGCAAGATTCATAATCTTCCAAGGCTGGGGCTGTAACTCAGAGGCAGCGCGTTTGCCTAGCATATATGAGGCACTGGGTTTGATCCTTAGCACCACATAAAAATAAACAAAATAAAGGCTTCTGTCCATCTACAACTACAAAAAAATTAAAAAGAAAAAAAAAAAGAATTCCAAGATTCTGGGGCTGGGGATATAGGTCAACTGGTAGAGCACTTGTCTCACATGCACAAGGCCCTGGGTTCGAGATTCCCAGCACCACACACACCAAAAAAAAAAAAAAAAAAAACAACTGCAAGATTCTGTAGAATATATTGATCAATATGTGTAGAGAAAAAAGCAAGAACAGATTTTCATAATTTGCTATTTTTAAAGAAAGTACAGAGATAGGTTGGTAGGATAAACCATCCTCATGTATTTTATTTGACCTAGTATCATTTCAAATATATTTTGTTGTAAGTTACTTTATATTTTAAATTCTAAAATAGAAGTCTCTATTTTTTATTGCCATTGAAGATAATTGTAGAATAACGAAAGTAAAAAGACTTTAAAATACAAAGTATGAGTGCTGATGTATCATAGAATTCAGGATGGTGTTTGTCAATGGCATACTGAGAGGGATGGGACGCGTGATGCACATCATAGGAATCTCTGGGACATCTGTGTGGTTCCTTCAGTTCAGTTTTACAGTTCCTTGAAAAAATTATGACATTTAAACAATATCAAGGGAGTAGTAGGAATCCTGCTACTATTTTTTTTTTTTAAGGTAGTAAGGCTTGAGTAGCAGTTACTGTGTTATTGGAGTTGAATTTTCATGCCTCATTTAAAAAATATCAGTATAGCTGTAAGATGGAATGCTTAACTATGTCTTAACTATGTCTTCTCCAGTGTTCTTAATATATTGTTCTTAATATATTGATGTATAGAGAAAAAAGCAAGAATAGATTTTCATAACATGGAGGGTGCTATAGGTTCAAAGCTTTGTTTAAGAGGCTTTGTTCCTGTTATTATTGTCATTTCCATAAAGTGTGTCAGTAAAGCAAAGTCTTGCACTATTGCGGTGTTTATCAGTATACTAAAGAAGCCATCCTGTTACCACTCTCTACTGCCTCCTCCTTTTTGTTTACTGCATATCTTTTAAGGGTCAAATGTAGTGCAGATGAATTAAGACTCCAAGTCTCAAGATCATAGACCAGTTGACTGAAGAAGGAAGAAAAGGGATAAGAACATATAAAGACTTATTCTAGTGCATCAACACTTAAGAAAAAGATGTGGGGGAGTAGTTCTGTGTGTTCGTGAGCAGGAAGGTAACACAAAGCCTCACTCCTTTGGCTCTACAGTTGTACCCCTTTGGCTAAGATAGCCCCTGCCTTGTGTCCCCATCAGCATGGAGGGGGTGAAGAGATGTCTGTAGAACTTCTGTGATCTGGAAAGACTCCCACCCTCTCTGTCCCTCAGCACACATCTCCCCTCCTTTCCGCCTTGAGACTCAGGGCTGATGGGCATGTTTTTCTCGCTGCCCTTCTATCACAGGTGGTCAGTATCAAGAGCCCAGAACATAGAGGCAGAATTCTTGCCTTCAGGACTGTTGCCCCTGTGTCTCGGTACATCACGTTTCTGATCTGATGTTCCACTTTCCCCTGGCACCTGAAGCTTTCTGCTTGTGCCATTTGACACTGAGTGTTAACCTGTTAATGAAACCCTGGATCCTCAACCTTCTTCTTCCTCAGAGAAATATGGCTCTCCCTAGCACCATCAATATCCCTGACCACTTTGTGAGTTGGCTGTCTTCTTTCCCAAATCTCTCCCTTTACTCCTGGGGTTTGGTATGTGCCCTTTTGTCTTCCTTGCTGCTTTCCAAACCTTGGAATCTTATGCTCTCAGACCGTGACCTGTTTCTGTCACCCCCTTTCCTTCCAGGCCATTTCTGCCCTCTTTGGACTTTTTAGCTCCATATTCCTGAGCACTCTTGGATTCCGTGCATGTCGTGTCCATGGTGATTTTGGTGTCCTGCTCATGACATTTACAGCACTCTGGGAAATGCCTTGCCCTCTCTTTTGTGAAGCTTTGTCTGCCTGTGACATGACTTGGTCCTGGCCTTCAGCAGTAACTCAAGTTCTCACATTTCCTACATTCAGGAATCGTGCTACCACCTGCTATTCCAGCTCACTTCCTCTGGTACTCTGTTTCCTATCATTCTTCAGTGTGGAAACCCAACATGCCACTTCCCCTAACAGCTTTTCCTTACCCTTCCCCCTCCATTTCCTTTAAATGGAAAATGCCCAGGATGGAGAGTATCATTTTACCATAGAAGTGAAGAAGGTGGGGGAAGTAAAATTTGGTGAGAGAGTAAAAAACAAAATCTCCTGGAGAATATTAGGAAGGCCCAGAGTGGGACTGCAACAGACACACCAAGGTTGAGGGGGCAGGAGAACCATATGCGCTATAACAGAAATAAGGTGGTTTCCCTCTTGTATCCATGGAACATGAGCAATCAAGAACCATTTCTACTCCATGACCCCTGAGCAGGAGCTCAACAGCAAGTCCCATTACAGTAATTGTAGTAGAAAATCTTCTGTAATTCCTTCCCAGTGTTAAGAGGATACATATATCATTAACATGTTTAAATGTTTAGGTAATGCAACAGCATTAATTGAAATAATTAGCTTTCGTGTGTGTATAGCCTATGGGTGTACTGGGTAACTTTAGAAGTACC